TAGTCGCACAGTCCACAAGGCTGGATGTCTCAGTAGTCACAATCTGGCACTGAAGGTCTGACGAATTCCAAAAGATCAGCTAGTCTTCAGTCTACAGCAGCAAGACGAACTCACCAGTGAGAGAGAAGGCAAGCAAGAAGCCTGGAGTTCTCCTCTGCTTTGGCCTTTTATACCGGCTGCCATCAGAAGGTAACACCCACATTTAGGGTGTGTCTTCCAGCTTCAAATGATCCAGTCAAGAAGATCTCTCTCATTTCAGTTAATCCCAGATCCAGTCAAGTTGACATCCAGGATTAGCCATCACAGAAGCTTTAGACCATTTTTTCCTTGAATTTCTTTCTCATCTCTCATCTCCGTTGGGACTTCAGTTGCACCCAAATCCATTGACATTGTGCCTCATATGATGTCTTCACTTTGTGAAGTCTTGTTTCTGGTTTTCAGATTAATTTTTGTTGATTAGAAATTAACTTTGTCAAGATTGTGTAAGCATATTTAGTAATCTTTAAAGCTTCAGATACTGTATTTTCAGTTGGTTCTTTTTGTGGTTTCTTCTGAGCTTTCCTTTTTGTATATTCTTTTAAAAAATCTTTGTGTGTGTATGTATATGATGTATGTGATATACATGTATGCTTATGTGTGTGCTTGGGCATTCCACTGTATGTGCCTGTCTGTGTGTGTATGCATGTTTGTGTGTGCTGATCAGAGGACAACCATGGGTGTCGGTCCTCACCTCCACCTTGTTAAGAGATAGCATTTGTCTACTGCGCAAGCTGGTCCTCTAGCTTCTGGGGATTCTCCTATCTCTGCCTCCCATTCAATGTAGAAGTGCTGGGATTACAGACCTGCTATTATATTCAGCTTTACATGGGCTCAGGGGATTCGAACTCAAGTCCTCATGCTTGTATGGCAAGCACTTAACCACTGAGCCATCTCTCTAGCTCCCATTTGTGAATCTTTTATAAGCATATTTCTTTATAAAATATTTCATTACTTTTTATGTGTGTGAGTGTATTGCCAGCATATATGTAAGTGCACCTGTGTTGTGCAATACCTGCAGAGATCAGAAGAGGGCAGTGGAGCCCCTGGAACTGGAGTTACAGATGGTTGTTAGCCACTATGTGCGCATTGGGAACTAAACCCAGGTTTGCTCTTAACCACTTGTCATCACTCCAGCATCCCTCCCCACCTTTAAACAGATAGTTAACTTGACTCAACCTCCAGATTGTCTCTTGCAGGTCTTTCAAAAAGAACCTCATTTAAAAAAATATATTTCGTTATTTTTATTTTATGTGTATGAGTGTGTTGTCTGCATGTATGTGAGTGCACCCGTGTCGTACAATGCTGCAGAGGTCAGAAGAGGGCTTTGGATTCCCCTGGAACTGGAGTTAAGGATGGTTTTTAGCCTCCATGTGGGTGCTGGGAATTGAACCTGGGTCCTCTGCAAGAGTAGTCAGTCCTCTTAACTGCTGAGCCATCTCTCCAGCCCCCAAGAACCTCATTTTTTTTAGTGTGATGATTCTTTAAAAATGATGGACTAATTCTGGAAAAATGTGTGAAATATTGTCTTTCTTTGGTTTAATAAAAATATTTTTTTAAAAATGCTGGGCTAAAGTTTCTGCCCTTCCCCCACCCCTAAGAATAGTTTGGTTTTTCTAGGGTTGACAGTTGGCACTAGATGTTTCCAGAGTTCTGTGTCACCTGAGCCTCACATGTTTTATCCACTCATCTCGTCATCTCTGCATGTAGCTGCCTCCGAATTCAGGAGCTGGCTTCTGCCTTGGAACAGCCAAGAGCATGTCCACTTTTGTGTTCTCTTTCATTGTTCAGGAGCTTGCATTTCTAAGCCGCATCTAATTGCCCTACTGGAGCAAGGGAAAGAACCTTGGGATGTGAAGAGCAAGGTGAGAAGAAGACCACTACAAGGTGAGAATGGAGAACCCTGGGGGGTCCTTTCTAGAGTGAGGTTCAGCCATCTGCAGAGTGCTTACCTCCTCACCCAGGTTTCCCAGAAGCTCCTTCTATCCTTACAGGCCTGGGGTAACCTGAAGCTTCACCCTTAGCCTCAGTTCCCTTCTGTTTCCATCCCATCTCTTCTCCTTCCCTCTTGTCTCTACCATAAGCTACTCTGCAAGAACAGTGTCCTGGTTTCATTCCCATTGCTGTGATCAAATGCCCTGACACGAGCAGCTTTAAGGGACAGAGGGTTCATTTTATCACACAGTTCTACATGACAGGCTGTCCTTGTGGGGAAGTCACAGTGGTTTGAGCTTGAGGGGATGGTCACAGAGTGGAGACAGAATGAATGCATGCATGCATGCTCGGTGCGCCAACCCCTGCCCCCAGCCTTCTCCAACCATGGTCCAGGGCCCCAAACTGGATGGTGCTGCCCACTTTCAGGCTGTGTCTTCACTCATGCCTTCAGGTGTCAAGACATGCCCACAGGCCAGCATGATCCAGACAGTCCCTCATCAAGACATTCTTCCCAAGTGACTCTAGGCTCTGTCAAGTGGACACTGAAAACTCACCATCACAGAGAACAAAAAACCCTATTAACTGGCCTAAGTGACAGTTTTCTTAGTTGCCGAAAGGAAGAGAATGAATGGGTAATTCCCTTGATACACATCCCAAGAAGTATGAGAAGCAGAGTTTGATGTGCTGAACACAAGGATAGGCCATGGGAACACCATTTCTGACTATGAAAAGTTAACCAAAAGGTCGCTGCTGAATCCCAGGGAAGTCACAAAGTACAGTGTGTGTGTGGTCACTGGGGATCTCCAGAGAGTTCTGAGCTGCAGTAGTAAATGGATAATATTGGTATTTAAACTAATTTAACCTAAGTATACACACAAATCAAAAGTGGGACACATTGCAGAACAAATCCCATTACCATTGCAGACCTCCCAGGCCCTCACGTTCCACACTTAGTCTCCCTAATCTGTGTTTACTGCCTCCCCTCCCATTCCTCTTGTGCTTGTGTTACTTTGTTACTGTGACAAAGTGCCTGCTACAAACAGCTTAATCAAGAAAGGACTTATTTTTGGTTCCTAATTTCAGGGGTTTACATCTATGGCCAGCTGACTCCATTGCCTGTGGGTCAGCAGGCAGTACACAAACATGGAGAAAGGGCCTGGTGGAGGAAAGCGGTGGCCTCGTGGCAGCCAGGAAGCAAAGAGAAGCCTGGCTGTCCCCGTGAATCCCTCCTTGTGCTTCTTTCATTACATCCCATCTAGTGGACTGGATAATGCCACCCATGTTCAGAGATGGCGTTACCTTCTTGGCTAGGCAGTTTGGCAAATCTCTCAGCTACACCAGAAGTATGCCTTGCTAGGATCTTATTTTCCATCTAATCAGGTTGACGGTCAAGGTCAACTGTCTTGTTCTCTGGGACCTCCTTGCACATTTTCCAACTGAGATACCTGTATGAGATTGTGTGATACTTTTAAATAGTTTTGAATCACCTCATTTAGATGTTGCTTTTGTTAATGGGATATGATAAAGAAAACATTGGGTTTTTTTTAACCTCTTTCAGATGGGGAATCTGAACACAAGACACAACAATTATCTCCAAAGCAATTTGTGTATGATGATGTGTCAGTGGAGAAAATTCCAAGTGTTGGTCTTGAGCGTCCCACTTGTGGAAAAAAGTGGAAATGTAAAAACATTTTTGAGAAGCAGGTGGCAAGTCAAGAGACACTTAGCAGAAAAGAAACAGCTACTCACACAGAAACTCTCACTAAAGACATAGGCTACAAATACACCAAATCTTCAAAATCTGTCCTTCTGGACAATGCAGAAGAGAAAATTTATAGTCCCAAGTCTGACAAGAAAAGCTTCTCCAAAAATTCCAAAGTACGGAAATACAAGAAAGTCTGGGCAGGAAAGAAGGTTTTTAAATGTACTGAATGTGAGAAAACCTTTACCCACAGTTCCTCTGTTACTGTTCATCAGAGAATTCATACTGGTGAAAAACCATATAAATGTAAGGTCTGTGGAAAAGCCTTCAAGCAGAGTCATCACCTTGCTCAACATCATACAACACACACCCATGAGAAACTCTTTGAGTGTAAGGAATGTAAGAAAGCCTTCAGCCAGAATTCATACCTTATTGTACATCAAAGAATTCATACTGGAGAGAAACCCTATAAATGCAAGGAGTGTACAAAATCCTTCAGGCAGCCTGCGCACCTGGCTCAGCATCAGAGAATTCACACTGGGGAGAAACCTTATGAATGTAAGGAATGTGGGAAGGCTTTCAGGGATAGCTCCACTTTTGCTCAACATCAGAGGTGTCACAATGACAAACGACCCTTTCAGTGTGTGGAGTGTGGCCAAGCCTTCAGGTATAACATGTCCCTTACCCGTCACTTCAGGCATTATCATACTGGAGAGAAGCCATTTGATTGTACTGATTGTGGTAAAGTCTTCAGTGTCCACATAGGACTTACTTTGCACAGGAGAATTCATACTGGAGAGAAACCCTACAAATGTAATGTGTGTGGAAAAGCATTCCGCAGCGGTTCATCCCTGACAGTACATCAGAGAATCCACACAGGAGAGAAACCTTATAAATGTGATGTTTGTGGGAAAGCTTTCAGCCACAGCATGTCACTCACTGGACATCAAAGAGTACATTCAGGAGAGAAGCCTTACAAGTGTAAGGAATGTGGGAAAGACTTTAGGCAGAGTATACATCTTGTTGTTCATTCAAGAATTCACACTGGAGAAAAGCCCTATGAATGTAAACAGTGTGGGAGAGCTTTTAGAGAAAGTTCACAGCTGACTACACATCAGAGAAACCATACAGGGGAGAGGCCTTTTGAATGTAAGGACTGTGGGAAGTCTTTCAAAAGAAATACCTATCTTGCCAGACATCAGAAAATTCACACAGGAGACAAACCTCATGAATGTAACGAATGTGGTAAAACCTTCACTCATACTGCGTATCTCATAAGACATATGAGAGTTCATACTGGAGAGAAACCTTACAAATGCACTGAGTGTGGAAAGGCATTTGGTGATGGCTCATCCCGTGCGCAGCATCAGAGACTTCACACGGGCCAAAGGCCCTATGCATGTGATACATGTGGAAAGGCATTCAGAACAAAGTCATCCCTTACTAGTCACCAAAGACGTCATACTGGAAAGAAACCTTAAACTGTAGCCCATGTGTGGCAGTCCTTTAACCACTGTCAAGCCCTTAGCATTCATCAGAGAATTTAGCCTAAAGACAAACACAAGAATATAAGGAATACAGAAGACCTTTCAGCCCGATGGTTTACCTTAGTGTGTGGAAGAATTCTCACAGGTAAGAAAGCTCTTCAGAGGATAAGGAGTGTGGCGAAGTCTTCAGGCAAGAAAGACACACATTGTTCACTGTGAGTTCCTGCTTCAGAATCCTCAGGCATTCCTCACGCTTGGTCACCACATCCTCTGGATATATCTAAATATACTTGGAATGCATCCACATATTTCTGTTTCCATCAGCCTTCTCCAAAACACAATGATTTCACTTGGACTTTTCCTAACGTCTGTAAATGGTCTCTTCTACCCTTTTTTGCACCCCTCAAGTTTATTGGAATCTTTTAAAAATGCAAATGTAATTGTGTCATTGTCCTAAGTGTCATAGTTGATGCATATGAAATGTTTAGCATCATGATTAACCATATTCATTTCTTAAGTTTCTAACAGTTGGAAGACACAGCAGTACACAGCACAGAAGTCGAACATGACCGGGAGAGAGATGGGACATCCCTGAGCCAATGCCTTTATTGGGTCTTGGGGTGCAGGTTTCCTTTATTGAGCTGAAATAAGCAGGCCTGAGTTCTGGGAGGTCATTTCAGGCCTGAGATGTGATTATGGTGGCATGTCCGCACTACGTATCTACAGTGGGAGTCTGGATGGTCTATTCAAAGGAAATGGTAGGAGCAGGGCACCTGGCGGATGGCCAAGAGAAATGCTTCTGAGTCCTTGCGCTTGGCACCAGCTTGGGCCATTTGTGGAGGGCATGGGTGTGTTGAGGGTCACTGAGCCTTGCTTCCAGCACGGGGAAGTTAAATCTTAAAATAGACACCAAGGGAACACAAAGTTAGAGGACCTCACCTCAAAGACACATAAGAAGTACTTGGAAAATGTGTTAGAGCAATGTTCTTAGTTCTAAACCAGAAATTCTGGAAATCAGTATATGAGTTAAGTGATGGTAACAATTTGGAACAAAGTGTCTTCAGGTGGGTAATTTGTGTTTAAGTGTTTAGCTTAAAGTTGGACAACATAGCAGCTTTCTTATTAAGACTGTTCCCTTATTGGTAAATAAATTAGATGCAGTCTGACAAATAGAACCTATTTTAGGAAGTGGCTGGAACTTTGGATAGACTGGAACAAAAGAATTAGAATTAGCTGGGAAAAAATATATGCATGACTGTATATAGTCAAAGCAAAAGAAAAAACCCAAACCATTTCTAATATTTATTAGCAAGCCCCTGGCACGTACCAGGAGCTTACTGGTCAACCGTTCAAAAAACTGAGCTCCAGGCTCATGACAGACCTGTCTCAAAAAAAATAGAGATGGCGAAAGGAAGACCCTAATACTGTGTGCCAGCTTCAACATGTGCACACATGGGTGAGTGCACCCACAAAGACGTGCACAACTGAATACACATACAAATAAAACATTTTTTTAAAAAACATTTTATTTTTATGTGTATGAGTATATTGCCTGCATGCGTGTAAGTGCACCCATGTTGTACAGTGCCCTCAGAGGTGAGAAGATGGCATCAGATCTCCTGATCTGATAGAAGGTTGTTAGCCACCATGTGAGTGCTAGGAACTGAACCTGGGTCCTCTGCAAGAGCAGCCAGTGCTCTTACCCACTGAGCAATCTCTCCAGCCCCTAAATAATTTTTTAAAAAGGATTGTAGGCAACATGAGTACATACTGAAGAAAGGAAGGTGGGAACCCCAGCTTCCAGTGTGGGTGTTCCAGAGGAGGATGGGTGCCATCTCATAGTACGCTCTGAAGGACTGTACGCTATCCTCTCCTTGCTCTAAGACCATTCTTTTTCCCCAATGCACACTCTATTGTAGGAGTTTAATTCTGCAGATGGTATTTTCAGAAGCCTTTGTCAATTGGTTTCTGTAAGTGTCATTCCCTGGGAGGCAAGAGCAAAGATTGGAGAGGAAGAGTTGGGGAGAAGCCGGGGTATTTCACTTCCAGTCAGCTCTAGGTGCTGATGCTGCTAATGGTATGTCTCTGTCACTTCCCCCACATACTCCTTTAGTCCCTGCTCCTGCCTGGGAAGTGCCTAGGACTTTAGCTCCTCTAGGGAGCCCTGGATCCTGGTTGGTGGTAATGGTTCTAAAGTATTGAGATAATGTGATTTAGCCTATTAAATGTGGTGTATTGCAAAACCAGAGTGAAACTACATTGGTGTTTTCAATGTTGAACTAGTGTTGTATTGATGAATGAATTCCACGTGGTTATGAAGTGTACAGTGGAGCAGCCTTAATTTGAATATCAGAAATCCAAAACACTCCAAAGTCTGAAACTTTTTGAATGTTGGTATGATACAAGTGGAAAATTCCACCACTGATCTCATGTAATAGGTTGTAGTCAAAACACTTGCCTCTGCCTCCCTCTCTCTCTCCCTCCCTCCCTCCCTCCCTCTCCTCCCTCCCTTCCTTATTGTTTTTTTTTTAAGTCTGTTTCTTGGGCAATATGGCTACAGAAGTATTAATTTTATTTATATTTTCATTGATTTTTTCCTCTCAACATTCTGTTTGGAATCTAATTGATCTCATCTGTTTTTTTTTTCTCTTTCCAGCTTTTGATTTACTTTGATTTTCTTTCTCTAGTTCTTATTTTTATTTATTTATTTTCTTTTACGTGCATGAGTGTTTTGCCTGTATGTATGTAAGTGCACCCATATCATGCAATGCCCATGGAGGCCCAAAGAGGGCATCAGGTCCCCTGGAAATAGAGTTACAGACAGTTGATAGCTGCAATATGTGTGCTGGGAACCAAGCCTGGGTCCTCTATAAGAGCAGCCAGTGCTCTTAGCCCCTGAGCCAGCCCTCTAGATCTTAGATTTTATTTTTAAGATGGAAGCTTCCTTTTGAACATCCATATTTTGAAATGTGTACGTTGAATGCTGTTTTTCCTGAAACATTGCTTTAGTTTCCAGTCACACATCTGAATGTATATTTTCATTTTCACTTATTTAAAAATATTTTCAGTCATAATTATTTAATCTTCAAAAATAGAAATATCTACTTGGCTTATTTCTTTCAGGTTAGAAGGGATCACATGAAACTTCTATAGGTATCATCTAATTCTTTCTTTCAAAGATTTTTAAATATTTCCTTGAGATGTGTTCTTTGACTCTGTAGTTAGAGTTGTGTTGTTTAATTCCCAAATATTTTGGAAGTTTGTGTAAATCTTTGCTTGTGTTGTATGTTTGTTCACTATCTGACAACCAAGAATGTGACATGCTTACTTTGTGCTGTCCATTATGTTTTACCCAGAAGTACACGTTATATCGTGAAATATACTTCCTTTTAACAGATTCCTTCAAAATGTGTGTTCTGAAGCTAGCAGTGGATGTGGGGCAGATTAGAGAAACAGCCTTCCCTGTGAGACTGAACTGTGTTCCGGGGAGGACACTGACCTTGTCCATGCTGATGCCCGAGTCTCAAGGCTCTCCTCGGGTTGCTCTGAGGCGGGAAGTCTTCTTAAACTATGAGATCCTGAGTCCTGAGAAAAGGGAGACCAATCAACAGGCAGGAGACTGGCTGTCTGGGCCCGGGTGAAAGTGTGGCGGTCCCTGTACCTGTGGTGGTGTCTGCAGTAACAGCAATTGCCACGGGTGCTCTTGCCATTGAGGTGGTCTCCTGAGCGACAAGCCCTGAGCTCTGGGAGGGAGGAGACGTCACCTATATATGGACATAAACGATATACACCAGCTAATATAAGTGTTAGGAAGGGGGTTTTAAAAGAGAACGAGAAAGGTCATTGCAGCTGTGACTGGGCAGTCTTCTCTGAGGCAGAGAAGCCTCAAAAAGGAGCAGCCCACAGCCCTACATGCAACGTTTACATCACCCCTCACCCCAGGGCTCGGGGAACACCACTGAAAAGGGAGCGCAAAGAATATCAGAAGCTGAGGGTGGGGAAGAGTGCTGTGAGACGGTGTTTTCTGGCCACCACGTGGTGGTTGTGCTCATGAACAGCAGCTATGGTTACCTGGATACACAAGGTCAAACTAGTCAATAGACCAACCAGCATGGAGAGGGGAGAGGTTCATGAGGCTCCGGCTGCGCTAAGGAGATAGTCCTGATTGTTGGGAGAGTCATTTTCCTTCCTGGGTGTGGACTGTGGTAGGCTGCCCATGCCTCAGTGGATGGTCCTGCATGTGAACTGTGGTAGGCTGCTTGTGCCTCAGTGGATGATCCTGCACCCATCCACATGCAGGCAGCTCTAATTGGCCTCGGTTATATATATTTTTTTAAATTAAGGTGGGAGAGGAAGTATGGGGGGAGTGGAAGAGATTTGAGTTGGATAGATCAAGATCCTTTGTATACATTTATGAAACTGTAAAGAATAATTTTAAAAAACAACAACAACAAAAAAAAAAAAACAGTGGCCCGATTGAAGTCTGAAGCAAGACTTGAACACCTAGGCTGTAATAGAAACTATGGGCATTAGAGCTAAGGAAATCTAGGGACGGCAGAGGATGCAAAACTCAGATCCACAAGCATCCCCAGCCACCAAATATCCCCGTATCCCCATCAGAACCGCTGTGGACCTCCCGAGGCCCAGAGTGGCCCTAGTTCAACTTCCCTGGGGAAGACAGGCCAGGTAGATAGGGCTCAGCTCTCTAGTTTTTCTTAACCACTAAGGCGTCCTAGCCACTTCGCTTACTTCGAGTCCCAGAAACCTCTAGGGAACGGTTTCGTACCTCCGAGACGGCCTGTGTTTCTGGCTAGACCCAGGGCAGCTTCTGCCGGGGAGATCTTAAGAGGACCTGGGAGCAACCAGCACCTGGAGGGGTCGTGCGGGGTGGTGGTGGGGGATGCACGGCGGCGATGGACCGAGCCCCACTCCGGACTACACTTCCCGGCGGACCTTGCGCGCAAGCCTACTTCCGGTGGTCGGGTCGAATTGTGGGAGGGGGGGGTCTGTCAGGGCCGGGTTAGGCCAGGTGGAGGCGG